TTACTTCTATATGTGACATGAATAACCAATCAAAAGCTCAGAATGTCCCCCTAGTGTTTTTTTTCTGTCATTTTGACATGTTATTGTGCTAATTTCATTCTTTTTACACGATGAGGTAAGTCTTCAGTGAGCTCGAAATTTCATATTTTTTTAGACCCGAAAACAGCTTAGTTACTACGCTTGATAAAATGTAGTGGAATTCTATGATATCAATATTGTAATTTATGATTTTTTGGTTAATTAAAATTTATTTATAAAACCTTAAAAAAATTATTTTTACATCTTCCATGTGGGAAATTTCAAGCAGCAAACAAGTACAAAGGTCACAACTAAAAGATATAATTGTTTGCTTTACTTCTTTATTTACTGTTCTATGTTTTAAGAAAAATAAGTTTAAGAGCTTATTTGTAAATAGAAATAATGTATATAATATATAATAGTTGAAATGTAACTGTATTTTACAAAATACTAGTCTACTATAACACAGCCAAGATAGGTCACTTTGTAAAGACTAAAGGTCAGTTTTATATCATTGGATACGGTAACACAAGTGCATGTGTGCCACGTCATTGTAACTTCTGTATTGTTAGCCAGACACAGCTGGAAGGTCAATTTAATAAAAATAATAAATATATATAAATGTTTGAATTTAAGCTATTTAGACTAAAAATTTGTGTTTTTGTGTTATAATTTGTAGTCATTCTTGAACAAAAAATGAATAATTTATATTTTTTTCCGAATTTTTTATTCAGGTTATGAAGTTGGTCATATTGAACCAACCCGTACAGAAATACACCAGTGAAAATAACAAATAAAATAGTTTTTTATACAAAAAATTTTATAATGATCTGGAGATTATAAAGATTTTGCATGTGAAATTTGAAAATGTTTTAATACATTAAAGTATTTTTAATCTTAAAATAAAAATTGCTTTGCATGTTGGATAGTCAACATTCTGAAAGAAAAAAGGATTTTAATACTTAATTTAAAAACCCGATATTTTGTGTATTAAAATTTGTAATGTTTACCAACAACCTGCAAAATTTTGTAAAGATGTGCATACATTATGAAAAATCATAGTATAATTGCTCTCATGGATACTTTTGTGGAAGGGTTAATGGAAAGTGCTATAAAAGAAATTATTTTTAATCAAATAATTTAATTTTTGATAAAATATACTATGAAACTTTAACACAAGGAAAGGATTTGTACATTAATAAACTGAAAACCAAACAAGTTTATTTTAGTGAGAGATAACATTAATTATTCTGATTATATTACTCATTCTTAGTGGAAAATAGTAGTGAAGAATACTTATCAGGAGTTTATATACAAAACCTAAACATACATGTAATAACAAGTCCCTTTTCAGCACAAATGTTTCAGATAAACTGAATAAAGTAATGACTGTTAATCATTCAAGACTAAGTTCCAAGAAAATTAAATGTGATGAGATATTAAAGAATCATGGCAATATCACTTATATTCTAAATTGGTCTTAAATGTTTAATACAAATACACCAGAACAGTGAGACTCAACATGAAATTAAGTATTTTATAATATTCCAAAGTTGATATGTTTACAAAGTAACTTTATTCTAGAGTTTATAAGATACTCAGATAATTTTTGAGGCAAAACAATTCAATTATAATTTACAAAGTTAAAACTATTTAGTATCCTTTGACAAGGATTATATAAACATGTTGGCAACATAATTTTGAATCACAAAAAATATTCTAACTTTTTAACACTACTTCATAGTTGGCTTAGAGAATGCTGTGACCCCTTAAACATTTAATATTTCTTATTCTAAGTGTTGTAAAGATAAATGAAACAATAAGTTTTTACCTACAAGCCTCATTACACACAAAACTATGATGGGTGTTCAAAGTACTTGCCTAAGATCCTCAACCGCTCTTATTGTATGTGTCAATTGGTCCATTAAAGCATCATGAGAAGTCATTGCATGGAAAAAAGCTTTGGACTTTAATGAGATCTGCCTTGCTATTTGTACTTCCACTATATCCAAGTAGTGTCCAAGCTGAAAAAAAATACAAAAATTAGTTGCAAATTCTTAACACACAGCATTTTGCTAGGTCAATATCAAAACAAGGTTAAATAATTGGGAGTGTGTGTGAATAATGCCTTTATAGCGAATTTCAAATTTGTAGTAATTCAACCCATGCTTCTCATTACAAAAAGTTATTACTGCACAAGTTCTAAGCAGCTAAGATATAGGTAGGAATGTATTTCTGAGGTGAGTATCTACTTGAAATTAATCTTAATTCTAGAAACATAATATTCCATACAAGTAGGTTTTCAACTGGAATACAAAAAGCCAAAATACCCATTTTGAGATGGAGTAGTTTATCTTGTGTTGTTCAGATTGTGAAGGAAAGGGAACTAATTTAAGCTCATCTTGCCCTAGTTAGAAAGCAAGTTAAATCATAATGGAGTTAGTTGGTATTTATTTACCTGTTAGACCATCATATTGATGAAAATTATTTAGTACCATCATTATAAAAAAGTAGC